TGGTTTAGGAGAATGATTGTTCTTCTATTTCCAATTTTCTCCCAATTCCTATTCTCACTAATATCTTCTAATATTCTATCTAATATCTTCTTCTCATTCATTCTCAGGGTTTAACAGGTTTGGACGGCCCACCTGGACCAACAGGATCCCCTGGAGACAGAGTAAGTAATCATTTCATTGATCCTGAAGCTCATTATTATGCAAATTTTAGAACAGAATAGAATAGAATAGAATAGAATAGAATAGAATAGAATAGAATAGAATAGAATAGAATAGAATAATAGAGTTGGAAGGGACTTTGGAGGTCTTCTAGTCCAACCCCCTGCTCAGGCAGGAAACCCTATACCATTTCAGACAAATGGTTGTCCAGTCTCTTCTTAAAAACTTCCAGTGTTGGAGCATTCACTCATAAGAACTCATAAGGATGTGTCCAGCATGAACTTTTTAAAACACATTGTTGTTATTATTAAGATAATAATAATAATAATAATAATAATAATAATAATAATAATAATAATAGTAGTAGTAGTAGTAGTAGTAGTAGTAGTAGTAGTAGTAGTAGTAGTAGTAGTAGTAATAGTAAAGTTGGAAGGGACCTTGGAGGTCATCTAGTCCAACCCCCTGCTCAGGCAGGAAACCCTATACCATTTAAGACAAATGGCCATCCAGTCTCTTCTTAAAAACTTCCAGTGTTGGAGCATTCACTGCTTCTGGAGGCAGGTTGTTCCACTGGTTAATTGTTCTAACTGTCAGGAAGTTTCTCCTTAGTTCTAGATTGCTTCTCTCCTTGATTAGTTTCCATCCGTTGCTTCTTGTCCTGCCTTCAGGCGCCTTGGAAAATAGCTTGATTCCCTCTTCTTTGGGGCAGCCCCTGAGATATTGGAAGACTGCTATCATGTCCATACAAAACAAGATTTTTTAAAACTTGACCTGTGTGCACTTCCACTCCCAGCATTCCCTATGTCAGCATGCTGACTGAGGAATTCTGGGAGTTGACGTTCACACATGCTGGCTAGGGAATTCTGGGAGTTGAAGTTGACACATGTTGGGTGGGGAATTCTGGGAGTTGATGTTCACACCTGCAGGCTGGGGGATTCTGGGGTAATTTGGAAAGTTGAAATCCACACATCTTAAAGATGCCAAGTTTGAAAAATACTTGTGTAGCGGAACTTGTTTAGTTTTGGTTTAACTGACAGTTCCCCCAACATTCCTTAATAGGATTTTCATGGGGAAAGATTGAACATTAATTAAATTTCTGCAAATTAGGGGACTGAGCTCAGAAAGGGTTAGGATTGGGTGGATGACTTCTTATGAGAACTGACAGCCATGTTTCACAACTTTCCACTTAGAAAATGAAATGTTCCCCTGCAGAAGCTATTACAAAGGAAAGCTACACAAACAATTATTTTCTAACAAGCCAAGGTCACGGGTAAATAGACTGGAAAAAGCATAAAATAATCTTTTAAAAAAAATTAATCTGGCCTTTGTGAATGGATGTGAACTTTAAAAAATTGCAGCCTGATGTTTGAAGGCAGGTGGGAGCTAATTACAATTTTTTGCTTTCTGTATGTGCCCTTCTACATAAAAGGTTATCTTTAATAGAGAATAAAAATATTGCTAGTCTTGAGCACTGTGCTAAATAAATGCCAATCTATTGCTATCCCAATAAAATGGCAGTTTTATTCCTATTACAAGACTAGTAAAATATTGCTAGTCTTGAGCAGAAGGCTAAGTAGATGCCAAACTTTTGCTATCCAAATTCAATTGAATTGCATTGAATTGAACTGAATACTTTACTTGGCCAAGTGTGATTAGACACATGAGGAATTTGTCGTTATTTTCTGAAAGCACACCTATTTCGTTCAGCTCCACGTTTCAGTACAGTCTTGCACTCTTCTCTGCCCAAAGCACATTCTTAAAGGCTTTAGTTAACGAAATTGAATGGACTTTGACAGCTATTCAAGGGCCCAATTAAAGGCAAGCATTCCAACATGCTCCCCCAAGTTGAAATTCAGACTCTGAGAATTTGGTCAGGTGGAAAGGAATTAAAATACCTGGCCATACAGCAGAAAGGAGAGGCAGCAAGGAAAATTACACGAAATGTGAAATGTGGAAATCACTTGAGGTGGAAAACAAGATGGCTGCAGTGGTGCTGACAGTGGATTTATCAATTCAGTCTAAATGGGGGAAATCAACCAGTTATAATTTGACCATTCCTCTTCTGTCCAAACACAAACTTGTTTTGATTCCATTTCATAGCATTTTCTCCCATTAATCCACTTTATGTATACTGTATATCTATCTATCTATCTATCTATCTATCTATCTATCTATCTATCTATCTATCTATCTATCTATCTATCTATCT